CTGCTTTGTTATAATACTTTCAGGTTACAAATGAAATGGCTTTATTATTAGAAGAATAGCATAACAGGACTGTCTTAGTTGCTTAGCTACAAATTCAACTATTTTTAGGGAATATATCTGTGCGTAAATATATTGGGTTTTTAATACAAAACAGATAGCTACACTAAAACAATAGACTGCTACATGAAAAAAAATCACTAATAGTAGTATCACATAGCCTCATAATTCAACAAGCACTAAGAAATATGCGCACATAAATTAAAGATGGAGACGCAAAATCGCCCAAAATAGTCAAAGCATGAAGGAATCTTATTTAGATAGTTTGCACTTTAATTAATGATTAGACAGTGAATCAATTAAATCATCATTAGGTCGGTAAGTAATTATGATCTTATTTGGGTCACTATTTTGTTATAAAATCGCTCTATTGCCAGCTGGCAAAAAAACAAGAACTAATTGGTTAATATATCAGCCACAAAATGGAATTCAAAGACCAATTAGAATGTTAACCTTACAAACTGATTTTAACTGATTTCGAATGGATCCCAAAAATTGATAGTCATCAGTTTTCGTTTAGCGTCGCGAAATGAGGTTAGCTGAAGCTACTCTCTCCAGAAGAGATCTTGTCTGGAGATTCAGTATGATGCATCCTAGTCGTACAAGTGACTCAGGCCAGAATCTACACACAAAGCAAAACTTCAACTTAAATAATGGTTGATTTTTTTAACAAAGTAGTAAGGTGACAGTCACCTTAAATAATTGCTTTTCAGCTGCTACAAGCAATTCGGATATCATGAAATGTGGTTACAAATTGAGTATATATATATATATATATATATGAAACTTTAGTATTACAGTCTAGTGAAGACGAAAGGATTTTTTTACCTCATAACTACTAGTGGAAACTTTCCCAGGATGACAATCCTTTAAAGTTTATATTGTCGCATAGAATTTATATAACATGCAAAGTAGACATGATAAAATATGCGTCCATGAATTCATGCAGTTACACAAGAAACTTATTAGTTTATCTTTATATACCTTGTTGAAATTCTCTAAGAGTAGATGCGACTACCTGATGGGCATTTGAATTTATTTCCCAAAAAATAATCTAAGAAAAAGCACATATGATTGAGGCAAATAGATTCACCAGACTAACTCCGAAAAACTGTTCAAACTTTGTTGGTATTACTTTTAAAAGTCTTTCGTTTATTCCTACGTGACTCAGATCGACTTGGACGTGTCAGAAATTAACTTGCCATCAAGAGAAACGTCTCTCCGATCCGAAATTCCCGGACGAGATGAAAACCTTAGCAATATGCTGCCTGAGTAAACAAGTGAGTATGGTTGGCGTATGATTCCAGCCTACCTGACGCAGCATGATGACGAGTAACTGGACACCACCGTCCCCTAGTTTGAAGTTAGGGAGTAAAATGGTAGAATATGAGGATCAACTCACTTATTTGGAAAGTTGCACCGGCCCTAAATGACTGATGGTAGGAAAAATCTCAGCAGCGATACGAAAAATCACTTGGCAAGGAACAAGTCAACTACTTAGGTTTTGAGACCCTGTAGACTGAGGTGGCTAAGTCACTTGCCACTTATGACAAGCCAATGCCCTACTCGTCGAGTAGTGTTAACCAAAGTTGTATTAGGTTGGAAAAGTATTAGAAGTGTTCAGACAAAATCATTTCAACATTCTGTGAATTACAGGCTGTTGATCTGAACAACACACGTAAGTGTAGATTCCCTGCCTTGGTTTATCATGAGCCTGGTGACCAGCACTTCAGGAGTCTTGATGAGATGGCTAAAAGCCGTTCACTCTATATCCACCTCCAGATTTTGAAAAGCTTCACCAATCTTTATCTAATTACTCCCTTCCCTGTATATCCTTTACCATTTTCGTCTCACTCCTTTTCTCCATTTGTGTGATCTTTCGAAGTGTAATGAAGTGAAATGAGACACTGTTATACAAATTCCTATGTTTTTTAATAGTTATCCAGTAGTATGTACAAAATCGCTTGCTAATAAATCGGACTCTTACAATAAGTTTCTTTCCGAAACCATTTTCATGGTACTAATTTATGCTGCGCTCAATCTTTTACGCTTGAAACACTTTTTGTTTATCCTGTTTATGAACCCTTATCTATGGTACGAATGATACCGTATTTCAGTGCGTATAAAACTTCACGTTACAGACAAATAGGATCTACCAAATTTCTTGTCAAAATCAAAAATTCACTTGACGAATTCTAAAGAAACTTGTGTGGTGGTATCTTTGTGGAAGACTCATAGTATAGATAACTGACATCAGAGCTTGAATGCAATTTCCATAGTAATAACTGTTTGGCAAGTTACAAAATGTTCTTAAATCTACACTCCTACCTTTCTTAGTAAGGTGCCTTGGAGATGAATAAGTCTCATATAGGAGCTAATAACAAGGATAAAATTTGTATATAACCATCCATAATATTTCCCATGCACCATTTCTTCATGATTTAATACGATATAAAGGAAAAGCTAATATGAAGTGCATAAGCCGGGAAATAAGCAGTAAATATGATCTTTCAAAATCCCAACACACAAATACCATGATTTCTCATAAGGTGGAATTTTAAAGGTTCTCCCTGATGCTTGTGGTTAAGGTGGAGAGATGTAGTCATTAGAAATATGGTACGCTAGTATCTACGACCTCTTATTTAGATTCCAGGTTCAGTGAGAAATGTCCTGTCAACCCTAGATTCATAGTAGTATCAAGAATGAAACACATTGGATGGACAGACCTCACACAGCATTATAAGCCGAATATATACTTCTGACCTTCACAAAAAAGGTAAGCTGCCGGATAATTGGCTATGCCTTTAACTTATCCTGGTCTCTAGTTTGACAAGAAAAAGATTGCTCCATTCCTGTTTGAAACCTGTAAGTGACTGAATATACAGCAAGTAGTTCAGAAAATCACAGCAGCTATTAAACTTGTGATGCACTTCTTATAAAAAACACTACCCACCATGAGAAACGAAACTCAGTGAAGTATAAGTCATGACCGTGACAGATTCCCAAACCCTTACCTTCACACAAGGTTTTGACCTTTCAAGTTTTAACCTATGGACAAAAAATATGATACTAAAGTTCCAATAAGAGACTAAACGGAGCATTTTGGACAACCACACGTCATCGAAATGCATATAATTAATGACAGTCAACTAAACAGAGTAGAATTTGAAAAGTTCACAGATTTGAGTTTATTGCTCACTGGCATAGCCCCACTTGAAGTTTCAAGAAATTGATTTCAGCTAACGGATTTATGATAACTGTTGTCGGAATAATTTTACTGTTCCTAAATTCCTAAATATGCTCCAGTTTCCGAAATAAGCAACATTTCAGAGTGCAGTTCACTTCTAAATGAAGTAGCGTAGTCAGTAGCAACAACATTATAGGAATATAATTAACATTACCATCAAATAAGCAAATACCGAAATTATGATCAGTACAGGTTTCGACTCAGTTGTGAGTGTCTGTTTTCATCAAATAGGGTTAATCTTATTGTTTTAGTGTGAGAACAAGTGAAATTTAGAACAATCAGGATACTCGCTGATCAAGATCGGGTGAATTCCGGCTTTCTGCTTTGTTACTCACCTTCTTAGGAGATAGCAGACAAAACACAAAAAAATGCCGACCCCTATTCTAACTTTGCACACTATCCAACAAAAATGAAATAGTATTTGTGAATAGTGTTGAGGACTTATTTTATCTGGACAGAGCCATTTATTCTGCACAATATTGCTTTCGAAGTGAACATACATGTGTCAACACAAAAATGACGACCGCACGACTAACACGAGGAAGTTTGGAAAGTGAGTAGCCGACATGAAACTAACGCAAGAGATAGTTACAGTTTTTACGTCTCTGATGGGCAATTATTATAGTGTACAGTGAAATAACCCTGAATTGGGCTTCAACCTTTGAAAACGTGATCAACATAACACAACTAAGAGCCTCTGTGATCGTATTGTATAACTAACGAATGCAAAATAAAGCAAGGAACCGTTTAATCGTACAACATGCCAAAATGAAACTGTGAAAATAAAGCACTATTGCAGCGTTACAACTCACTGTGCATTTAGTTTTAGTGAGTATATTGAGTACTAAGATTTATTTGTATTAATATGGAACTGGTGAGTTATGAAAGTTCAACTGGTATTATCCCAATAAACTCTTTTCACTGAAAAATTATCCTGTTAACTTTGGTTTCTAATGACCTGACTTAGTTCAGACCCCTGAGCATGTAGCTGCCTGTATGTTATGGGAGGTCGAAATTTGCGAAAATATTTGGTGGCCCTGTAAGCATTAGCAGTGACATATACTGACCGGCTTAATGATGTGAATAAATCTTCGACTGGATTATCTTTGGGGATATACTATTAGCTGATATATCACCTCCAGAAGAAAGAGCGAAATAAGAGTAGCTTCCAGAGTGACAATTCTCATAAGTTCGCGCTTAAAATAAAGGGCTATATGAGGCTCTATACCTTCCTTGCTTCCTGTCTTACTTTTCTTTGAGCTGCACCAAGCACATGCCATCTCATATATATATATATATATATATATATATATATATATATTCAAAGTTATCAGTTTCTGAAATGCACCAGTAGGTACTTTCTAGGTTGAGCCGGCAGTATTAAAGTTAAATTAAGTTCCGTGTCATCAGTAAGTTACCAAAATATGGAGTGGCTTCGAAACTGCCTGTAGTTCACCTGAGGTGTGTACCGAAGTGCTGAAGTGTGCTCGAAGACTGTCCCAAAGTGTCTGCAATGCATCCAAATTCAGTGCTAGCCGGACCGTGCATACTTGGAAAGCTGGTCTCTTTCACAAAGCATGGCACATAAAATTAAATAAGATATACATGTATTTCGTGCTCATGGTTAAATTCACAAGGACGTCATATTCAAAAGAAGTGCAATGATAAATATAGCCAAAAGTATGTAAAGACTCACCCGTGGATAGTTCATCGTAAAGTGGCTCAACAGATTTTCACGAAGGCAGCCATCCACACCCATAAGAGGTTTAACAACTGAAACCCCAGGGGCTTCAACCAATGTTGTTGGTCTTTTTGGATGCAGCAAATATCGACTAAATATATAGTAGTGGACAGGAATCAACTCACGCTGTATACAATGATATGACGAAAAAACAGAGTTGATGGAAATATACGAAGAGAACTAGGAGAGACAAAAGGAATATTCCTAGTGGGAACAACACTTCAGCTTGGAACATTTCTAAACACCGTCATATGTGTTACATTGAGTTTGAATTGTCGCAGCTTGTTTTAAGGTCGTAAGCAAGTTAAAGTGTATCCATTCATGAAGACTAACAATATTCTTCCACTTTGTGCGATTGTCCCCTACGTTCCAATATCCAATATCGTTTTTACGAGCTAGTATAAACCAATTTGATTTCTTTGTGCTCGCTTCTTGATTGTAAGGTATAGGTTCCTGATCTTCGGTAAACTTCTGCCTAGCTCGTCCCGCCACCGACTGTCGTAGCTTTGGTTGACTCCAAAGGGAGAATTACTGGGATTAATTATATGTGGTTTGTAGTATGAGGTATGTTAAGACTGTTACTACTGTGACTGGAGTCGATCCTTTCGCCAGTTAGTCCTTCGGTATCGTCGACAAGAGAGGAGATAGTAATAATAATAATAATAATAATAATAGATATAATTAGTGAAGTTATTCAGACTAAGAGACAGAAACGGAAATAGGAAAGCGCAACAACAGTCAGCTTGTAGCGGTAAATAATTCCCCGAAATTATTGACCACAGCAATCACTCATTGGATGCTGACCACCACTGTTTAAGTCGACTTGTTTAGCTGTAAGCTTCCGGTCAAGCATCCCCGCCATTTGGTACCCCGTCGTGTAACGTGCACGATCACTAGCTAGCTAAGCGTTTGTCTGAAGGCTTGTTTTGGTCCCAAAATATATCTCTTGGTTTGGACGATCAAATATTGGCTTTTGCTTTGTTGTTGGTACGCGAGAATAAATTAATTAGAAGTTGCTGAACGAGATATCCGTCAACCTTTAAATCTCATTAAGTTTGAAGAATAATATATATCGGTAATAATAATAATAGTAATTATAATATTAATAAGTTGTCAGGAGAGTAAGACGGGAGAGAATGTAAAGAAGTAAAACGACGAGTTTAATTATCTACCCTGATTGGTGTATGCGATTTTAAGGAGATAGGCCATTTGGATGCAGTCCTTGTATCGCTGCATGGTTGTCCAGCCTTCGCTTAAAGGCGTCCAAAGACGGTGCCATAGCTACATCTGCCGGTAAGGAATTCCAGGGACGACAAACCCGCAGTGAAAAGAAGTGGGAGCGCACCCGGGTCCTTGCCCTCTGGTGAGCTATCCTTCTGGGATTTCCACGTGGAAGCCTATACCTACTCAATGGCAGAACACCTTTGTTTGGGTGATTCTGGTCATTTGTTATTTTGTAGGCAGTAATCAAATCCCCCCTAAGCCGACGGTAACTAAGTGTGAACAGGCCTAATTTCTTCAGCCTTTCATCATATGGTTTGTTTCGGAGACCAACCACTCCTTTTGTTGCCCGTCGTTGGACTCTTTCCAAGAGGTTGGCATCTCTTCTCAGCATTGGGGGTGCAATAATATTATGCACCTCAAGGTGTGGCCTGACGTATGTTTTGTACAACATTAGAAAGAGCTCAGGAGTGAGTGCACCTAACTGTCTATGCGTAAAGTGTATGACCGCATATGCCCTCGCTACATCCCCTGTGTAATTTACGCTTGTGTCCATTTTTTCCGTTAGAACTAGACCTAAGTCGCGTTCCGACGTTGTGCAGGACAAGCTTTCATTGCACAGGGTGTAACTTGCATTCTGCAGTCTACAGGTGCGCAACTTCACTACTTTGCACTTTTTCAAGTTGAAAGTCATGCCACTGGCCACCGCCCAGTCTTCCAGAAGGTTTAGGTCTTCCTGTAGCCTATCTGAGTCCTCCGGACACTTTATCGCCCTCCATATTTTTACGTCGTCAGCGTACAGGAGAGTCGGGCAGCTCAGACGGCGTGGTAGATCATTGATGAAAATCAAAAACATCAGTGGTCCTAGGATAGAACCCTGCGACACTCCTGATGACGATCTGTGCCAAGATGATCGGACTCGGTTAACCTTAGTGCAAAATTGCCTGTCGGCTAGGTAGTCCTTCAACCATGACAGAAGTGGCTCACCTATGCCTGCCTGGCTTATTTTATGTAGGAGAAGGTCATGGTGAACAGTGTCAAATGCCTTCTCAAAGTCTAGGAAGACCACATGGACTGGTACGTTCAAGTCCCAGCATGATGTCCAGTCGTCCCAAGCTGACAGTAGGTTAGTGACGCAGGATCTGCCTTTTCTGAAACCATGTTGGGCTTCATGTAGTATATTAGTCCTATCGAAATATTCCCTGATGTGGTCGTCAATAATACTTTCCAGTACTTTTGATACCACTGGGAGTAGAGCTACTGGTCTATAGCTAGCAGCGTTTTGCCTGTCCCCACCCTTGAAGATTGGAGAAAGGATGGCTCTTTTCCACTCCCTTGGCAGGGTCCCCGAATCCATTGAGTGTTGGAACAAGTCGCACAGGGGTCTACAGAGAGCCTCGGCGCACTGTTTCAGAACAGATGGCCTGATGTCATCACAACCTGGGGACTTCCCAGGTATGAGTCGCTGTAGCTTCCTTAGTACTATTGCGGGGTTTATTTGGGGAGTAGTCGCTAGGTCTTCCTCCTCTGAAATAGTGGTGCCACCATTTTGGTCCGTAACTGTAATATCCACATTGCTGTTTAGCTGTTTAGCGAAGGCTGAACTGAATGTTTCAGCCATCTCCAGACTAGTGAGATATTGACCGTTTGGGCCTACTAAGGCGCATGCCCCTTGGTTTGTCGGTTTTCTTTCCGACATGAATCGGTACAAGTTTTTAGGGTTTGATAGGAGTTTTTTAGCAAGGTTAGCCTGGAATGACCTTCTGTCCCTCCTGACTCTTGCATTACACCGGTTCCTGAGTTCGAGGTATGCATCATGGTCGGTCTGACTCTTAGATACACGCCACGTAAACCAAGCCTCCGCTTTGCTTGCAGAATACGTTGCGTGCCTCTCTTCAACCATGACGTCTTTCTCTCAGGCTGTGTTGTGACTAAAGGGACGGTATCCGAGATTGCTTATGGATAATCTTTTTTACCACTTCCCAGTGTTCATCCACAGATAGGTCGTCCCATGCTAAGGGCCAGTCTGCGTCGGACAAGAGCCTCCGCATTTCAGCATAGTCAGCCTTGCTGTAGCACAGACATGGTCGCGTAACATCCCATTGCAAACGCTCACGGAGGACAAGATCGAAACCTATGACTGCATGGTCACTGCTTCCCAGAGGAGTCATGATCTGGACCTTTTCGACGAGTAGCTGGTCACTAGTTAGAATATAATCTAGTTTTGATGACTTTCCACTAGGGCCCCACCTAGTGTCGTCTCCAACATTCTCAGTCAGTCCCGTGTTTCGAATAGTTTGCAGTAGGTTTCGGCCAAATTTTCCCTTAGCACACCCGGAGCCGAGGTTCAGTGATGGAGCATTGAAATCTCCAGCTATGGTGATTTGGTCGTAGCCCAAATCTCGTATTCCTGTGATAGTGCTGAGCAGTAGCTGATTGTGCTCTGCCCCACAGGTGGGAGATCGGTAGATGCCACCCAGTAAGTGCTTGGTGTGGCCTACGGTGAAATGACACCATATGGAGTCTGGGAGTTCGATAAGTGGTGGGTCCGTTGCGCGCACACATTTAAGTTGCCTATCAAAGTATATAGCAACTCCCCCTCCTTCCTTATTATCCCTGTCTCTCCTGACCAGTACCATATCACCTATACTGATTTCATTGTCGGCGATAGTGGGGTTTAGCCACGTTTCAGGAGAATGATTATTTTCAGTTGAAGGTGTGCTTGGAGATTTCGGAGTTCACCTACTTTTCCTCTCAGCCCCCTCACATTGCTATATAGGCAACTGACAGTGAGTCTAACAACCTCAGAGTGTTGTGGGGTAGTTGACGTGAAACCGTCTGCTGGTGGGGGACTTGATGTTGGAACTAGTTGGCCGATTCCGATAGAACCGGCCCGTTGTAGTTTTTTTCAATGGATTTAGGCAGGACACTTGGGAGACACAGACTATTATTCTCAGAGCTGCATCGCTCTAGTGTCACCGAAGCTTGGGGTCGTATTAAAGCCTCAGTTTGCTGCCTCCTTATATTTCTGGGTCTGCTTTCACAGCATCGGATGTGTCCTCCAATTTTTCCCTTGGTCTCATACCACCGTTGAAGTGATATGGACAACTGCTCCGGGGAGTTGAATGTGACACACAGCAGCTTTGGAGAGTTAATCAATGTTAGATGAGCGGGACGAGGTAGTCGGAAAATGGAGATGGCTCCAGAAGCGCCAGGGGCCATCTGAGATGACAGCCATCTCCATTGTTGTACGTCGTGCATGTGTTTTTCACAAGCAGTGCCGGTTTCCAGCTCCGGAACACCGTGTACCACCATAGAGGTGGAAGGCATCAGTTCCGGTGACTCCCTCGCCATATTTCTGAAGCCCATGGTCTATCTTGCCGCTCTTATGTTAGAACTTCTGTCCAGGGCTAGTACCTGAGCCATTAACAGTACTTTTTCGGCCTCTTCGGCAGAGTCCAGTGTAACCCGTAATGGGGGTGGCTTACCCTGAGGCGTGTGGACACCCCTGTACAGTCTGCACAGTTTTGCTGAACTAATGTTCAGACCTAGTTTGTTGCACAGGTTGGACCACTGTTCCTGATCAAACAGGGCCCGTTGTTCGAGCAAGCTATCCGTGCTCACAGGTACGTTAAAGAGGATGAGAGAGTTAGACCGACTACCCTCAGACTTAGGTTTTGCCTTCGGCTTCTTGCAGTCCTTTGCATCATTAGCAACATTAGGCTTCATCGGTATCTGGCCGGCCTTTTTTGTGTTGCCAGGCTTGCTAGTGGATGCAAGTGGTGCCTTTGTAATTTTGCCTTCCCCTGATGTGGATGGAACCTTGCTAATCTTCACCTTGTGAGAATTGGCATTTCCAGTCAGTAGGGCTGGTGTGTCCTTCTTTAAGTCTTTGACCAGTTTCGGCAGTGCGAGTTTAGCAGGGGGGAGCTGCATGATACTGTGTTGGGGCACAAGAGCGTGTTATTTCTGCTATCCGCAGACACGCTTTGTGGGACTATGCCAGGGCGACAA